GGGGGGTAATGTAGTCATACAGAGTTGCAAATGAAGCCCGGGATTTGAATTTCCTGGGCTTCATTTGCATGAAGCCGGCCGCGCCATTTTTAAATGCCGGCTAGGTCGGACCCCGTGCCGCGCGGCTACATGCGGCATGGACTAGCTAGTTCAGATTAGGCTTCCTAATCTGAACTAGCTGTACACCTCGTTCCATAAGGCGTACAGCTAGTTCGGATATGACGCCTAATCCGAACTAGCTAGTCCGTGCCGCGTGTAGCCGCGCTGCACGGGGTTCGAACAAGCCGGGATTTAAAAATGGCGGCTCCCCGCTTATGCAAATGAAGCCCAGGAAATTCAAATCCCGGGCTTCATTTGCAAGTGCGGTATGCCTACATTACCCTCCTAGTTCGAACTAGGAGGGTAGTGTAGACATACCCTTACAGTAGGAAGTCAGTGCTTTTGCAGAAATTCAAGCAGCCAGTGTAGACAGCTGGCAAGTTTTTCCGGAAAAGCGGCTGATTTTCCGGAAAAACTGGCCAGTCTAGACACAGCCAGGAAGTGAGAGGAATCTAATCTGCTAGTACAGCTTCCTGCAGCCAAAGCAAGCCAGCTTCCCCCCTTAGTTCTGAGTGGGGAGGGAAAGTGTCACTGAAGCCCCCAATGTAGGACTCAAAAAGGGTAAAGCACCACTTCTCCCATCCTCATCATGGCACTCAAGCTGGTCAGCTTTACAGTGTGTCCTTTATCTAAAAAGCTGAATGTGAAGCTGCAATAAAGTTCATTCATTTTCTTGACTGAAAAGTCCAAGTTTAAGTAAGAGCAAGTAAGAGGCATTAGCAAGAATAGTGGACAACAGAAACCCATGGGCTACGTCTACACTGGCCCCTTTTCCGGAAGGGGCATGTAAATTTCATGAGTCGTCGTAGGGAAATCCGCGGGGGATTTAAATATCCCCCGCGGCATTTAAATAAAAATGTCCGCCGCTTTTTTCCGGCTTTTAAAAAAGCCGGAAAAGAGCGTCTAGACTGGCCCCGATCCTCCGGAAAAAGTGCCCTTTTCCGGAGGCTCTTATTCCAACTTCAAAGTAGGAAAAAGACCCTCCGGAAAAGGGCGCTTTTTCCGGAGGATCGGGGCCAGTGTAGACGCTCTTTTCCGGCTTTTTTAAAAGCAGGAAAAAAGCGGCGGACATTTTTATTTAAATGCCGCGGGGGATATTTAAATCCCCCGCAGATTTCCCTACGACGACTCATGAAATTTACATGCCCCTTCCGGAAAAGGGGCCAGTGTAGACGTAGCCATGTAGTGTACTAAAGAAAATCCTTCTGCCTATTCCAAAACACGGACATCTTAAATAATAAGGAAAATATAGCAAATAATTTATTTTCTATTTTCTGTTTGTAACTGATTTAAAGAGCATAAGGGATACATAATTATGTCATGGCAATAAGGTCAAACTGCACTTCTGGTGGTTGTTGTACCACTACTATGACATCACTAAAGATGTCCAACTGGCCAGTTCTAATGTTGCTTTGGAAAATGTCATATAGAGCCATATTCTTCTATAAATAACAGACCTGCTGCTATTCCCTTTGAGGTTGAAAGGAAAATTCTCAATATTTTAGGACATGTCTACACTAGGAAATTATTTCAAGATAACTTAATTCGAAATAACAACTCCCAAAATAACTATTTCGAAATAAACTTATTTCCCAAGGAAGGCAGGAGTACAGATTTTGAAATAACCAGCCTCGTATTTCAAAATAATGGGCTTTTTAGTGTGGACGCTCCACTTACTATTTCAGAATAAGGGGGGTTATTTCGAAATAACTCCCTAGTGTAGACCAAGGCTAAGTGGGCGAAGGCCAGGCCAAAGTACATTCAAAAACAGTTTGACCCTCTTCTATCCTACCATTAGGATATTGAAAATGCAAAATAAGTGATCATTAATACAGTAAATCAATCAGTTAGTGTTCACTCTTAATGCCAATATTTTTGAGGGAAAGTAGAATTAATTATTTTTTTCCAATGATTTGTAGTATTCAGTTAAGACTTTCCAAGCTTTTGGAGCCATGAACCCATCAGGTGGATTTTCACCTTCCCGAGCAAGCTTTCTCATGCGTGTTCCAGAGATGAAGTCAAATTCTTCGTGCCTAACACAGAACAGACATATGGATGAAATCAGAACATTTAATCCACCTAAAATGCATCAAAGACAAATCTTTTCAAATTTATTTTTTCTGTTATCCCCAGAATTTATTCTGAAAATCAGTCAATTGGCCACTTCATTATCTTTATAAACACTATTGCACAAATCTTTATCTTCATGTGCATATTCACCAGCAGCAGCAAGAAGCAATTGGACCTCTATCAAAAAAGCTCCAATAATACAATATAATAGTGAAAATAAATATAAAATACTTTTTTCTAAAAATAAAGAAGAATATTTCCACTGTTGTTTCCTAAGTATTAATTTCTTAACTTTCTTGGTGAAGATCAAGCACGGTGTTAGTTTCACATGCACTAATTACTTTGTCTTGGGTGTTGGCAGGCGAACAGATTCCTTACCTAGGACTTTTCATCCCTTACTTCTTTTATTTAATTTACAACCAACTTATCAATAACAAAACAAAACTTTTCCTTTCTTCTGCTAAGAAACATTAAATATATTAAATACACAGGCTACTTCAAAGCAAGTTATCATTCAGTGTGTTACCTTTCTGGATTGTAGAATATCATGGCCTTTTTTACTTTATTGTATGCTGCAACTCTGAAGGGAATGATTTCCACAGAGGCCAGTCCTGGTGCCATGCTAAGGACCTTTCCTCCTTGTGTGGGCTCATACAAATCTTTCTTGGTCTCTGGATGGGGCATGCCAGCAGGGTCTCGGCCCACGATGTAGAAACCGGCTCCTGCAATCATTCGAGCCCTACAGTGCCACTGAACCTGTGATGATACAATCCAAACTCCATTATTGGTGCAGTTTTTGTCTTGCTTTAATATGAAATGTTTAAAAGTTAGGCAATGTCTTTATTTGTACAGAATTAAAAGAATAACACTCTTCAGCAGACTGTTTGTTGTTTCTGATTATTGATTTATCCACTTCAGTTTCTTCTACCACTGCTTTCACTTCCTCTGCATCAATAAAATGAAATTGGACAAAGAGAGTGCATCTATACTGCACCTGTAGCTCAAAATAAGCTACACAATTTGCGCTACGCAAATCCCATAGCTTATTTCAAGTCACTTTCGAAATAGCTTATTTTGAAATTTGGTGCTGTCTACACAGCACTTATTTAGAAATAAATCACTACTCTGAAATGTCCCTTATTCCTCATGGAATGAGGTTTACAGGGATGTCAGACTAGCGAGACCATTACATTTCGAAATAATGGCACACTCTAAAGACATGAAATAGTGCTGCAGTGTAGATGTGGCCAAATTGAGCAAAGGAAGCATCAAGTGGAAACTGTAGAGAGGGAAACTTTTTTTCTGTTTTTACAGCTGTTAGAGTTTGTGAGGTCATTTGCTCTCTGATCCAGAAGTGAAATAATTCCTGAAAACTGAGAGGCCATAACCAAAGAAAGCTGTAAAGTGAACACACTTCAAGTGTCTTTATTTACTAATAGTTGAATATATGCCATAACTTAAGTATGGCTGACTGGCTAATTGGAGCCTCTGGGGAAATGGGAAATTAATCCTTAATTACTATAATATTAATTCCTCTATCTATTAGGGCCACTAAGAACTTCCATAATCTTGGTTGCATGTGAGAGTTGCCCCAGCTTCTCTAAGAGGTCAGAGAGACCATCCCAGGCCTAGAGACCTACAGGTGCCAAGATAAAGTAAAGCTAACATAACACCTAAGTGTCTCTTGGGTTGGGATCTCACCTTTTAAAAATTTGAACCCTGGCTAATTTGATGATACAAGAAAGGTGCATTCATGCGAAGAACATTGAAGGAAATATGTAAACGTACTGTATGACATTAAAAAGTCTCTCAACCACTGATGCTTTGGAGTAACGCACAGGTTTTCAAAGAGGAATAGGACAATTTTATCACTTAGGAAGTCTGCTTTTTAATTATTTTGGTAAAAATTTGTATTTTTATTTGTATCAAATGCAGCTACAACACAGACCAGCACAAGTGAAGGAAAATGTATGTAACTAAATAAAAATGGCTCTAATGTGCTCCCTGTTTTTCAATCATATGTGTGTAGGTTATGTCCAAAAATCAAGTTTACCAAGTTACAGACCCAGTATAGCAAAATCTAATCAAATGATGTATGAAGACAAATATACACATATTTCTGGACTTTTTCAGATACTGGTCTGATCTTTTAATCCTGTCAATTAGCAAATCTTATCAGACTTGGACTGTAAGCAAACGTGATATCGCATCTATTGATGAAGAATTAATATGGAATCTCAGATGTCATTTCTAAGTCACATCTCTGAATAAAGCCTTATTTAAAATTCTGCGAATATTGCAGGGTGTTGGTTGGTACTTAAAAATACATTACCTCTGTTGGACCCGCATATAACATGGGTGAGGGGAAGATTGCAACAATAGTTGACTTTGGGTCTAGGACATGTTCCTCAAGCACAGCTGCATGCTGCTTCATTCGCCACTCTAGTGGTACATCATCGTCTTTGGTCCAGCCTCCTAGAGGATGCAGCAGAAGCACAGGATGTTTGTAGCCTCTTTCCAGAAGATGGCGTTTGGTGTCCTGCATAAGCAGAGCATGCCCATTGTGCACAGGGTTGCGCAGTTGAAATGCAAATACGGCATCTAAGAAAGAAAGATTCAGAATAGTGTCATAAGTCTGATAACTACATTAATCCGAACACCTAACAGTAAGTACATTTATATGCTATGTAAGTCATGAGCATCAAATTATGACAATCTCTGCTGTTTATGTTCCCTGATTTTGTTGTTTGCATGGACTATCTGTATTATCATAGTGCCTAGGAGCCCTAGCTATGGACCAGAATCCCACTGTGTTAGGTGCTGCACAAACACAGAACAAGAAAGCAAAATAAACAACTTTATCTTCACTTGGAAAGGTTGCTATATTTAAATTACACATGTATTATGCTTCTTAAGTACTCTGTGAAATCTTTTCATTGTGCACATTTTCTCTGCGGTTGATCTTGGTTATATCATCACACTGAGTCCAATGGATTTTTCATCTGTCATTAACGAGTGTATTTCCAATCTATACCACATCCTCTAAACACGCTCCTCCTGACAATATTTGTTTTCAAAGTTCAATAAAATGTTTAGGGAGCCTAGAAAATCTTCAATAAAAGCATCGTCTGCCTTACAAAACAAGGTCAAATATTTTATGCAAAGTGGGAGGTGACTCATGGAACTTCTCTCCTCAGTATGGACATGTTTTGGTGATTGCAGTGATGTAGCCAGGATAAAAGTCTAGGGTACACACCATACAAAACTTAAAACTGGCTTCAACAAACAAGGACAGTCCACCAGAGAAGTAGATTGCAACACGAAACATGCTACCCAAATACACCCAACAGAACCTGCTCCATAAAGAGGGAAAAAAAGCTCCCCCAACCAGATGAATTCCACCCTGAAGCCCATGGGGTATCTTTGAACAGTTACAACCTATACTGGATGGAGACTACATCCTGGGGGTTACAGTGGATGAGAAGCTGGATATGAGTCTACAGTATGCCCTTGTAGCCAAGAAGGCTAATGGCATATTAGGTTGCATTAAGAGGAGCATTGCTAGCAGATCCAAAGATGTCATTATTCCCCTTTATTCAGCTCTGGTGAGGCCACATCTGGAGTATTGTGTCCAGTTCTGAGCCCCCACTACAAAAAGGATGTGGACACATTGGAAAGGGTCCAGCAGAGGCAGACCAAAATGATTAGGGGGCTGGAGCATATGACCTATGAGGAGAGGCTGAGGGAGTTGGGTCTGTTTAGTCTGCAGAAGCGAAGAGTGAGGGGGGATTTGATAGCAGCCTTCAACTTCCTGAAGGAAGGTTCCAAAGAGAATGGAGAGAGGCTGTTCTCAGTAGTGACAGATGGCAGAACAAGGAGCAATGGTCTCAAGTTCCATTTACTTTGTAAGTAATTTTTAAAATATGGTCAAATACAGCATCTGAGTCTGACCTAAAAGGGAAGTGTTACATTTCTGTTTAGCAATCCATTGTTAATTAGTAGTGTAACACTGCCATTAAGCAAATGGGTTGGGAAACTGTGGCTATTGCAAGTAGAAAGATTCATGTGGCAGGTTGGAACTTTTGAGCAATTTTGGGTGGCAATGTTTATAGGAGGCTGGGGAGAACTAGTTCCTCTATTTTGGATAAATGGGATCTGCACTAAGCCAAGAATTTGACAAAAAAGTAAGAACTATCACCAAAATGATTAGGGGGCTGGAGCATATGACCTATGAGGAGAGGCTGAGGGAGTTGGGTCTGTTTAGTCTGCAGAAGCGAAGAGTGAGGGGGGATTTGATAGCAGCCTTCAACTTCCTGAAGGGAGCTTCCAGAGAGGATGGAGAAAGGCTGTTCTCAGTGGTGACAGATGGCAGAACAAAGAGCAATGGTCTCAAGTTGCAGTGGGAGAGGTCCGGGTTGGATATTAGGAAAAACTATTTCACTAGGAGAGTGGTGAAGCACTGGAATGGGTTACCTAGGGAAGTAGTGGAGTCTCCATCCCTAAAGGTATTTAAGTCTCGGCTTGACAAAGCCCTGTCTGGGTTGATTTAGTTGGGATTGGTCCTGCCTAGAGCAGGGGGCTGGACTAATACCTTCTGAGGTCTTTTCCAGCTCTATGATTCTACGACTCTATCCTGAAAGCAATTCCTGAACCCCGTCTTCTGGACTTTGAACAACCGCCAACCTCACCTAGCGTCTCATAAGAGGCAAGGTCCCCACCAACCAGGACATATCAACCTAAAGCAGCACCAGATCCCACCAGAATAATAGAGGCAAAACCTTCAGATATATCTTCACTGCTGCTAATGATCAAGCCCTCCTGCCCCTCAACAATTCTTTCAAGATCTGTGAGTCGACCACATGCTTATCGCAACATGTTGGGGGGCTCATCCATTGCACTAAATGTCTCAATAATAACTGTGGGTGAAAGGAAACAATCACTGAGCTCTCACAAAAAATGTTAAATGACAAAAACACCATCTTACTCCTGGGTGAACAAAATAGTCTCTCTATATCTGGCCTCTCAGTCTTTGTTCCTGCCCAACACTTTCAAAAGATGAGCCTAAATTTATAACTTTAGTAAACACTAAAAATTGTGGACTAAAGAGAGAAACCAGATTTATGGCTTATTGCAACCTTCTATAACCTACTAATCCTTTTTTGTCTTGTAACTGCAGAGGTGTTAATAGGCCACTTCATCCTGAATGGTCCCTTAGGATACATGTTAACTACTTAGGTTAAACAATCTATTCAACGCCACCTTGTATTTAGGTATGTGTACACTGCAATTAAAAACCCGCAGCTGGCTCATGCCAATGGACACAGGCACATAGGGTTTGGACAAAGGGAATGTTTCAACTGTGGTATAGGTATCTGGGCTCAGGCTGCCGTCCAGATTCTAGGACCATGTGGGGTGGGAGGGTGAGTCAGCTGGCCCAGATCAGCCCAGGCTGTGTAACTGCTCTATGGACATACCCTCTGAGTACCTTTCTCAGATCTTAAGAAGAACTCTGTACAGCTGAATAACTTGTCTCTTTCGCCAACAGAAGTTGGTCCAATAAAGATATCGCCTCATCCATCTGGCCTCTCTAACGTTGGTGAAGCTTTCCAGGCACTAACATAGTGGTGTTTTGATATAGCAACTCTCTTCACCTGCCAAGAAAGTGCTGTCTTGTGGGTGCCATAGGTTCCATTCTCTCATCCTTCTTATTTGGGAAGAGAACAATCCCAGTGGCAGGAAGAAAACAGCATTAGACAGTTCGGCACAAACAACAAACAATTCTATGACAGGCCTGTGATTTATAGTGACACTTCATCTATATAGCACTAATACACTCAAATTATTATTTAGTGTTACTAAGAATATTTTCTATCTACACTATGATGAGAAAACAGCCAATCCTTGAAGATGTTTATTATTAGATGCAGAAATTTAGAAGAGATAACTAAACCAAGTCTTATTTTTACATCTCCAGTAGGAATTCATTTGGGGCTGATAATAAAGAGAACTATTAGCTATTCACATACTTTTTGATCAACCTCAGTGAAATAATTCAATTCAAGAAGTCTGTGAAATTTCTAATTTTCTCTTTATGCATGTGCAACAGGAACAACTCTATTAGAACCTTCTTCAGGACCTGACTGGTGCCGAATCAGGGAGTTGGCCAAACCATAGGAGGTCAATATTGTCTAGTAGCATTACCAACACTTCCACTGCTTACTAGGCTCTTATTAGAAGACATGTAGGGGTAAATTACAGCTAAATAGTAGCACAGAACACTAAGAGTCAGGACAGGTGGCTATAAACAAATTTTATGGGACCATGGGAAACTTAGTCACGTCCATGATAAGTGGATATCCAGCTAACTAAAATCATGCCAGACCATGGATGTTGCTGGAGCAGAGAGTGCTGGACTAGAAAGGTTCAATCTGAAGTTTGCATGCTGAAAATTAACTAGCAAGAAATTATCTAGCTTCAGCTCCATTGTATCAAAATTAGGATTTTTTTGCTAAAGAGAATAAGGATAATTAGGCACTATCCCAGCTGAGATTGTGAAGAGGGTATAATATCACAAAGTCATTGGCTCACCAGCATTCATTTCTTTAAACTTCTGTCTGAGCTCCAGTGGTGTCAAGCGGTATTGGTCCAGCCCATCATTCCATTTTATTCTCTCTAGCACAAGAAGATCACCACCAGCCAACCAATTCCCACTTTCCATCACCATCTACAAATCATATATATATATATATATATACACATACACACACACACACATATTAGTCATTGGATTTCTGCTAAATACTAAAACTTTTGTATTTATTTTATCTTTCAGTAAACTCCTACACAGTGCAACTGCCAGTGACTTACTGCATGGCTGCATCTAACCTAAGAATTTATCTCCTTGCAGGGTTAGAGGAAAGCTTGTCAGGTCATCTAAGTTAGTTTCATGTGCTGAGGTAGAACCAAGTTTACTTAGACCATCCCTGAGAACTGATTGTCTAACCTGCTCTTAAAAATCTCCAGAATTATTGGGATTCACTACCTGCCTTAGAAGCTTAGTTCAGTACTTAACTGTCTATATAATTAGAAAACTTTTCCTAATATCTAAATCTAAATCTTCCTTACTGCAGATTAAGTTCATTACAATTTGTCCTACCATCAGTTTTTTCCATCTCCACTGAATATGCCCTCTTTATAACAACTCTAAACATATTAAAAACTTGCTAGCAGTCTCCACTCCCCCCACCCCCTTTCTCTGGCCCTACCTGAAGGCTTCTTTTCTCAAGACTAAACATGTCCAGTTCTTTTAACCTTTCCTCAAAGGTCATGTTTTCTACATCTTTTATACTTTTGTTGCTTTTCTCTGAACTTTCTCCAGTTTGTCTACGTAGTTCTTAAAGTTTGGTGCCCAGAACTGGATACTGTAATGCATCTGAGGCCTCACCAAGGCTTCACAGAGAAGTACAATTACTGCCTGTGCCTTACGTATACATTCCTGTTAACAGATCCCTGAATATTAGCCTTTTTTTTTACCATTGCATCGTATTGTTGGCTCACATTCAATTTCTAATACCCTATAACTCCCAGATCTTTTTCAGCAGTACTATTGCCTAGTTATAGTTAGTTATTTACCATTTTGTAGTTAGAGCTTTGATTTTTTTCCTTCCTAAGTGAAGTACTTTGCCCATGTCTTTCCTGAGGCCTGCTCTACACTAGGAAATTAGGTCAGTATAACTACATTGTTCAGGGGCATGAAAAATCCACAACCCTGAGCAATGCAGTTAAACCAATCTAATCCTCAATTTAGACAGTGCTAAGTTGATGGGAGAATTTCCCCATCATCCTAGCTACTGCCTCTCAGGGAAGTGGATTGCCCCTACCCCAACAGGAGAACCCCTCCTGTCAGAGTAGGCAGCATCTTCACTGAAGCTCTTCAGTGGTACAGAAGTAGTGAGTGGTACAGGTGTGCTGCTGTAATGTTTTAAGTATAGACTAAATTACATCTTCTTGATTTCAGACTAATTTGTCAAGATTGTTTTGAATTCTAATTCTGTTCTCCAAAGTACTTGCAACCCTCCTAGCTTGGTGTAATCTGTGGATTTAATACTATATTTTTTGCTTTATTACTCAAACTATTAATGGAAATACTGAATAGTACCAACAGCAAGACAGACTCCTCAGGGACAATACTAGATAGATCTCGTTGTCACAGCAAATCATTGATAACTACTTTTTACTTATAGTCTTTCAATCAGTTATTGCTCACTTTATAATAATTTCAGATTGACCACATTCCTCTAAATTTGCTCACGAGAATGTCATGTGGGACTTTGTCAAAAGCCTTGCTAAAATCAAAATATATGACATTTTTGAAGATAGACAGTCAAACTTGAGTTTTCATTTTAAGCAAACATATACTAATAAAATTATTATTTATATTTTAGTACAGAAGAGGTGAGTAAAGAAAAAATAAAAAAAACCTTCTATAATCAGTAAAAAGAAATAGAAAACACTATTCAAAATTCATTTTAATAATATTTTGTTTCATGCCTCTATCAGTTATTCCAGCTCTGAGCCATTGATTTGTAGTGGTAGAATGATGAGTGGCATAACAGAGAAAACCAAACCACTGATTCATGGAAATATAAGGAGCTGAAGTATTAGATAAATGTGATCATGTTTAAGCTAAAAAAAACACCTGTACTTATATAGGTAATGAGCTTTTGTAGAAAACATCCCAGCTTTTTTTGCACTGTTCTATTCTTACCCTTACCCCAGGCATCTGATTGAGTTCCATAAGCTTGATGGCATAAACTGCTCTCTCTCATTAATCAATAAACATGAGGTTCAAGGACTATTTACAAAGCAAAAAAACAATGCTCCCTTCAATCCTAATGAAATCTTTTCCAATGAATGGTCCCTTGCATTTTACTTTGAGAGAGTACAAAAACACAATGTTTAGTGCTAATGGGAAATGTACTATTCCCTGCTCTCTACCCAAGGCCTTTACAGGTTTTCTTAGTTTTTAATTCCTCAAGACTTATTATTGCAAATAGGGAAATTACTAACACACTTACTTTGACATGTGGGTGCTTCTCACAAGTCGTCCCCCAAACGCGCGCACAGCGCTCCTCCTTCCTGTGTTCATAGAACTCTGGATTTCTGAGGATTGCTATCCTTTGGCCATTATAATCAAGTGCAAATGCAATGCAGCCCTCCAACCGTTTCTTATCTTCCGTAGCAACAGGGAGCACAATGGGAATGCTCAGGTTAATAACGCCATCTAAGATGAGAGCACCACAATATTTTAATATACTTAAAAGGGCTAATTCATTATACATACACACATGCACAGATAAATGGCTCTTTGGAAAATGTCTTGAAAGAGGAAGTCCTAACCGATGACTGTACGAATGATCAAAGACACTCGAACAACTGGTCTAATGACCTCATTCAATTAACCACATGGCAATACTGATTTTACTCTGAGGTTTTCCCACCCCCTGTTTTTGCTTGGAAATAGACCTAGTATTTCCTTATAAGAATTAACATTCATAAGAAAGAATCATTAAACAATTTAGCAGTTGTAACTGTGAAGTGATTATTTGGCCATCTTACACAAATTATTTCATTCTGGTTTGACAAATAAGATAAAACTCATGCCATATAGAATTTTTGAGATCTTTCTAAATACTTTGCTGATTTAGCATCCTGGAGATTTTCATCTAATGATTTTAATACTATGTAGATTTTGCCATGTTTTATTTTATTTTTTTATAAAATGTTTATCATTCATCTATGTAGCCATTTTAAATTAGCTTCATGCACAATCAGATACTAAGATGTAGTCATGTGTGATCCAACAGGTAAATTTCCTTTTGTTTAAATCTCTCTGACTGAAACTTGCTTTCACAAATTATTCAGAAGTGTGTTTAAAAAATCAAAAGTGCACCCCCATATCAGGTCTATTTATTTCAACCAATACTCAAAGTAAAACATTGAATAATTTCTTAAATAAATCAATTTGGGTTATTGTATTCCAGCTTTAATTACAACACACACAACAACAGTCACTTATGGTATATGCAAATACAACTTGCAAAGTAATATGATTAGAATTCTCATGGACCCAGTTAATAGTGTATTGGAAGTCTGATATTATGTATAACCGGTTGGATCATAAACAACTTGGTGCCAGTTCCAGTAATCTAATTTAGACTTTATTTTTCTATGGCATTTTATATAATTTATATTAAAATGTCTGATTGTATTTCCATACTATCTGGAAAATAATTAAATACATACCAACCAGAGCTATACCAACTATACCCTTTCCTAGAGGAATAAAAAAATAATTAATACCTATGTTTTTTACTTCCCCAAAAATAATGTTCAGGAACTAAATTATTCTGAAACTTCAAACATAATTGTTGCATAATTTTAGTTATATTTTCTTGCACTCTCAAGACTATTTTTTTCCTTTTTTGCTATCAACATAAGTCTTGCTCTGAACAATTCAGTGCTATATATTTAATTCGCTACCTGTTGTCATAACACATTGTATTTCTTCCCCAAAATGTCAAATGTGTATAGCTTCTCCATAATTAAAATCTTCAAAAATATATACATAACATGTAACACAATCCAAGTTCTGTGTGCTGACAGCATGCATTCAAAAGTAAGGATGTCAACATGTAGTCAAGTACAAGATTAATCAATAATCCTAGGTTTATCAGTTAATCTTATCAACTATATGCAATCTCCCCCCCCCCCATAACGGAGGCAGCAAGGGGGGGAGCTGGTGTTGTGTGGGGAACTGGCTTTTAAACCGACTCCCCATGAGCACAGGATCTTTGTAATCATCTGCTCCCTCCACCCTAGCACTGTTGCCGCTCATAGACAGGCAGCAGCATGGAGGGTGAAGGAGGCAGGCAGAAGCTGATATACGCAGTAAACCAGCTTTCAAGCCAGTTCCCTGCATGTATTGGCTCACACGAGCCTCTTTCCACACACACACACACCCAGTGCTGCTGCCTCTGATACAGAGGCAGCAGCACAGTGGGAGGCGGGGGGACAGGCAGGAGCCAATACATGTGGGGAGCTAGCTTTTAAGTTGGTTCTTTTTGTGTGCTGACCCCCCATCCCGATGCTGCCTCTATCAGAGGCAGCAGTGGGTGAGGAGGGTAGGGGAGGCTGCTGTTTAGCAGCCTCTGTCTGTGGCAGGCCCAAGCTCACCACAGAGAGAGGCTGCTTTCTGGGATGCAGGTGCAGCCTCTGTCCACGGGGAGTTTGGCCCCCCTGCAGACAGAGGCTGCTGTCACCCCACACTGCTACCTCTGATACACAGGCAGCTGTGTAGAGTGGCAGGGGGCTCCCCAGGACTGGGACTGGAAGTACACTGGCTGCCGGCCCCATCCTCAGCGGCTACTGAATAGTTGTGTAACCAATAATATTTTGTGTGGTTACACAACTATTCAATAATCACTATCTAACATCCCTACTCAAAATCATTCATTAGTAGAACTGAAAGAAAATTGGAGGCGGTTGGTTCTGCATAAAACAAACATTTTGAGCTGGAAACTTGTTTTTTCAACAAAAACTCTGTTTTCCGCAGAAAGCAGACACTTGTCACAAAGAAATTCATGTTGTTGAAACCTCAAATTTCTGACCAAGTTTTCAAGCTGTCCAAATAGTGTTATTTTTTGACTGTCCCAATAATTTTGGAACACACGACATCTCATCTTTAAAGGGGAGAACAGCATCATGCAATAAATCTGTGTGGCACTGATTTCATTTACATATCTTATGTACTAACCGAACCATTTGAAGGTAAGTTCCATGACATTTTCTACATATCCCAATTACTAGAATGTAAATATGTGATTTATTACTGAAAATTTATGGGACTCAAAATGTATTGCTGTTAGTAAAACCTGGTAACAGGAACTTGGACATGTCAGTGCCAATGCTTTTACTGCTCACTTTATTCTGACTGCATCCTTTCGAGCCATAACCAGCTTTTGATCAGTTCCAGGCTACGGGTTCAAACTCCATGCTAATAAGACAGACTGATTTTCCCACTTTTTTTGTCTCAGAGGGGTAGCCATGTTAGTCTGTAACTTTAAAAGCAATGAATAGTCCTGTAGACCTTGGAGACTAACAAAAATATATATAATCATGAGCTTTCATGGGCAAAACCCACTTCTACAAATGAACTTGAATCTTTATTTTTTTAAATCTAGTCCCAAATTGTTGGTTAGGAACATATAATGGTGACCACTGCCTCTGCACCCAACCACTTTGCATCATTAAATACAACCATTAATAAAGAAATAAGGGCTTTGCAAGGAAAGAAAATCAGAGAATCTGACTTCCTGCTATCAAAATTTTAGTCAAAAGCCAGAGCAACAGATACACAACGACCATCAAACTCAGACCAACCAGGACAGCAGATACCATTGGCATGGGATCTGAAAATACCTTTGCTGCCTGTTTTGGAGAGGTTAATGCACATAATGCAAAAACCAAGAGCTGCAATAGGTGGGTCCCAAGCCAGTTAGGATCTCTACACAAAACAACAGTATGAACAGCAAAACAAAACAGGCATTCAGTACAAGCAACTAAGCATTAGTGCTAGAAACCCACAATGGGACTTACCACGCAAGAGGTGAGCTACTGCATTTGAACCTAATGATGTTTCATGTGGAACAACAAAACAGTAGTTCAACTTGGATGCTACAGGGGTCTGGATTATTGTGGCAAGGTCCAGAGGGAAAGATTTACAGCTACCAGCAGTTGTAAATGGCCCTTGTGGCTACCAAAGTCACCAGGAAATCCAAAGCAAGGATTATGGCAATGTGATCTTTAGACTGCAAACTGTATTGACTACACCATATGCCCTATTCTCAGCTTCATCACTTTTGTTTCACAAAGCCGACCATAAATATTGATGAAATCATATTAGCTTGTCAGGCACTGGGATCATCAGAAAGACTAAAGTTGTGGGTTTGATTAACAGGAAGCATAGTTTTGGGTCACCTGCATATTTGTGATGCTGCAGATCAAAACGTTTGTGGTAGGTACACACAGCACAGGAGTGGTGACAATGCAGGACTCCACATATGGAATCTTTCACAGTAGAAGAGTCACTATTAATTAGCAGCCTTTCTGTCAGGGTCTGATGTTTCATTCCCTATTTATTTTGAAAAGTACCTTATTCTGCAACTCATCTCAGTCAGTGAAAGTGAGTTAATGAGGGTGTTAGATTTGGGACTCAGAGAGGAAAGATCAGATTCACTATTTCCAGCCATTCTCTCAAGCTTCCAAAAGCAAGTACAGGCAGTCCCCGGGTTACATGGATCCGACTTACATCGGATCCCTACTTACAAACGGGATGAGGCAACCCCGCACTAGCTGCTTCCCCCCAGCAGACCAGGGAGACGCGAAGCTAGCACCGCTCCAGCAGACCAGGGAGACGCGGAGCGGCTTTTCTCAGCAGACACCTCAGCTTGAGAATAAAGGACTAATATGTACCAGTTCCGATTTACATACAAATTCAACTTAAGAACAAACCTACAGTTCCTATCTTGTACGTAACCCGGGGACTGCCTGTAATAGAATCATAAAAGATGAGGGTTGGAAGAGGCCTCAGGAGGTCATGTAGGACCTAACTAAATCAGTCCAGCCAGGGCTTTGTCAAGCCTGTCCTTAAAAAACCCAAGGATGGAAATTCCATCACCTCCCTAGGCAACCCATTCTAGTGCTTCACCAGCCTCTTAGTGAAATAGTTCTCCCTAATATCCAACCTAGACCTTCCCCATTGCAACTTGAGACCATTTCTCCTTGTTTTGTCATCTGCCATCACTGAAAATAGCCTGGCTCCATCCTCTTTGGAACCCTCCCTCCTTTCAGGTAGTTGAAGGCTGCTATCAAGTCCACCCTCAAGTCTTCTCTTCTGAAGACTAAATAAGCCAAGTTCCCTCAGCCTCTGCTCATAAGTCATGCATCCCAGACCCTTAATATATTTTGTTGCCCTGTGCTGGATTCTCCAATTTGTCCACATCCTTTCTGTAGTGGGGGAGGGGGAGCGGGCTCAAAACAGGACACAAGGCTCCAAATATGGCGTCACCAGTTCCGAATAGAAGGGAATAATCATTTCCCCCGAGGTGCAAACCAACCTTTCATCCAGATCATTAATGAAGATGTTGAATAAAACCGGCCCCAGGACTGACCCTTGGACATTTTGCTTGATAGTGGCTGCCAACTAGACAACAAGTTATAAATCATTACCCTTCGAGCCTGACGGTCCAGCCAGCTTTCTATCCACCTTATAGTTCATGCAATCCATATTTCTTTAACTTGCTAGCAATAATACTGTGGGAGACCGTATCAAAACCCTTTTTAAAATCAAGGTATATCAAATCTACTGCTTTCCCCATATCCACAGAGACAATTATCTCATCATAAAAGGCAATAGGTCAGTCAGACATGACTTGTCCTTGGTAAATCCACGTTGACTATTCCCTGATCACCGTCCTCTCCTCCAAGTGTTTCAAAATGGATTCCTTGAGGACCCGCTCCACGATTTTTTCAGGGACTGAGGTGAGGCTGACCAGTCTGTAGTTTCCCAGATTCTCTTCCTTCCTCTTTTTAAAGATGAGAATTGTATTTGCCTTTTTCCAGTTGTTTGGATCCTCCCCTGATTGCCATGAGTTTTCAAGAATAATAGGCAATAGTTTTGCAATCACATCAGCCATCTCTCTCAGCACCCTCAGACGCATTAGATCCAGCCCCATGGACTAGTGTATGTCCAGCTTTTCTAAACAGTACTCAACCTGTTCTTCTACCACTGTGGGCTGCTCACCTCCTTCCTAGACAGTGCCGCCTACTGCAGCTGGTTGTGGTGATGGCAAGTGGGTGCTGACATTTTCTGAGAAGACCAAGGCAAAAAAAGCTTTGAGTACTTCAGCTATTTCCACATGCTTTGTCACTAGGTTGCCTTCTCTATTTAGTAAGGGCATGTCTACACAGCAGGGCTAAACTCAAAATGAGCTATGCAACTCGAGCTGTGCTAATTGCATAGCTTAAGTCAAAATAGCTTATTTCGACTTTTGGTGCTGTCTAGAAAGCAGTTATTTAGAGATAAAGCACTCTTCCCCTCATTTCCCTTACTCTGCATACAATGAGGGTTACAGGAGTCAGAGTAAGCAGTTTTCCTGCTCAACATTATTTTGACATTATGTCGAAATAACTGCTTGTGTGTAAATATTCTGAAATAACACTGCTGTGTAGACATAGCCTAAGAGTCCTACACATTCTTTGACCTTCTTCTTGTTGCTAACATACCTATAAAAACCCTTCACATCCCTTGCTAAGTGCAACTCCAACTACGCTTTGGCCTTCCTGATTACACCCCTGCATGCTTGAGCAATATTTTACACTCCTCTCTAGACATCTGTCCATGTTTTCATTTCTTGTAAGCTTCCTTTTTGTGTTTAAACTCCCTTAAGATTTGTCTGTTAAGCCAAGCTGGTTGTTTGCTATATTTGTTTTTCTTTCTTCACATTGGGATGGTTTGTTCCTGAACCCTCAATAAGACTTCTTTACAATATAGTCACCTCTCCTTCCCCCCTCATTTTAGCTTCCCAGGGGATCCTGCCCACCAGTTCCCTGAAGGAGTATGCTTTTCTGAAGTCCAGGGTCCATACTGCGTTGCTCTCCTTTCTTCCCTTTATAAGAATCTTGACCCCAACCATCTCATGGTCTCTGTTGCCCAGGTTGCCATCTACTATTTCTACCAATTCCTTGTATGGGAGCAGCAGGTCAAGAAGAGCACGAGACCTAGTTGTTCCTCCAGAACTTTTCCCAGAAAGTTGTCCCCAACACTCTCAAAAACCTTCTTGTCAATAAAACTTTATGGTCAACTATGTCAACAACTGCTAAAAGATCTAACAAAATCAACATGGACATTTTAACTGCATGTATGGTTAGGTTACTAAACCCACATCTAAAATCAAGGATTGATCCGTCTACTGTTTCCAGACTAGACCAATATATAACTCTAGTTCCTTCACTACAATCCCTTTGATTACCTTTTCCAAAAATGAGGAAGATTAGCCATTCAGAACATTGCTAATGAGAGCTGAAATTTCAGGTCTCTGCTTATACTTTTAAGCAAGAAGACATAAAAATATAATCTGAAAACATATACAGGTTTCTCTTCTCCATGTACACGTCTTGTTTCCTACTGGGATTACAAACACAATCTGTCAATCTCCTTAGACATTAGCCTTGATAATGCATTTATATTTAATTCCAGTACGACTGAGCAGGAAAAGTTTACACAATGGTATTCAAATATTTGAACTGCTAGTTAATAATGAATGTCAGTGTATGTGGCACTGAGGGCCATTCCATTATAAAATAGACTATCAGCTTTTATACTCTTTCATGTAGTTAAATGCACCCACTTGCCATCACCATTGTTCTTTATAGAGCTGTTTGCTCAGGTGCCACATTCATCAAGAGAGGAATTAAACATTCAGTGTAAATTAGTCTTTGGTATATAATTGACAATTATCATATTTAATTTAAACTTTTCACACAATTTTTAAGGCTGTTTGGAAGTTTAAAAAAAATTATATATCAGGCGCATGAAATCATACCATCTCTCAGGGTGCTAAAATGGATAACTTGCAAATATTGTGTCTCTCGCATAAATCCTTTCAGTGGCGTTGCCCAGCCTTCACTCAGGACTTGGACCCACTGTAGATCCAACTGAAAAAAGGAACCAGATATTATTTGTATTACCAGATAATACTTCAAAGATAGAACTGAAGGATAAATAAATCTAAGAACAATCTTGTGGATTATGTACTTAATAAATACGTTTATTTAATATAGTACATTTATAAACACATCATTCTGCAAGATTCCCAAATTGTTTTTTCCCCCTTTTTAAGATTGTTAAGCAGGGATCTTCACCTCCCGTGCATCTCTACATAATAATTTGCTTCAGTGATGTTAACACTTGCTCCTGTACTTCATGAGAAGTCACAAAAGGAATGGGTGCCATTTTGCAGAGACAAAATGTGTCCAATATAAGAAACCAGGCTGAGCCCAGATGAACATTTTGACCACAATATTTATTTAAATGTCATGATGCACAAAGGCCATAGCAAAAATACAGCAAGTTATATGGTATGATAATGGCTATACACAAATATCTGTCCATTTTGTAAATTCTTTAAAACAATCTCAGTTCCATTTCAATACAAAAAAATTGTAATCCCAATATCTATTAGGGTACGTCTAAACTACATGACTCCGTCGACGGAGCCATGTAGATTTGTTGTTTTGGCAAAGGTAAATGAAGCCGCGATTTAAATGATCGCGGCTTCATTTTACATTTACATGGCTGCCGCGCTGAGCCGAGAAACAGCTGATCAGCTGTTTGTCGGCTCCGCACGCTAGCCTGGATGCACCGCGCCAACCTGAAAGCCTTTTATCCACATCCCCCTTATGCCTCGTAGGATGAAGTTTACAGGGGATGTGGATAAAAGGCTTTCATTTCGACAGGGGAGCGTCCAGACTAGCGCCCGGAGCCGAAAAACAGCTGATCAGCTGTTTGTCGGCTCAGCGTGGCAGCCATGTTACAGCCATGTAAATGTAAATCATTTAAATCGCGGCTTCATTTACCTTTGCCTATGTGTCTAATTTACATGCCTCTGACGACAGAGGCATGTAGTCTAGACACAGCCTTAGAGATAATCAATTTTTCAATTTTATTTGAAAGACAAATTGGCTAAAAATAATACTAACAGAGTGATTTTTAAATGTTTAGATCATGAAATATATGCTGTTGTTTGAAAATCTTATTGTGTAAGTTTAACTGTGTTTTACTGCAATTATGTGATATAGTATAAAATTATATTTCTATACATAATACATGTATCTCTGGAAATTTTTACAGTATTTAGAAGATAAAAGTTACCATAAGAATCAGTTCTATAACTTTAATTTGAATAAACAGACTAAGTCTGGATTTCAGAGTCTTCAATTTCATTTAACAAGCTGTTATAATGTCAGGAGCAAGGCATCTAAATACTAATGATGCTACTTTAGTGGTACAGGATTTATCAATATTGAAAAGAAAATATAACAAGTGGGAAAATATTGCGTAGACCAGGGGTTCCCAAATTTTTTGACACAGGGACCAGTAAATCCATTCATGAGCTTTCGGAGGACCGGTAACATCCATTTGCATATTTGCATATCATTAAGCAAAAGAGGAATACGCAAATATGTTGGTTTTGGTCCTCCCAAAGTCCCCACGGCCAGCTATAGCAAAGCTTTTGATATGGCAACCCACAATATTCTTACCAGCAAGTTAAGGGAATATGGATTGGATAAATGGACTGTAAGATGGATAGAAAGCTGGCTAGACCAGGGTTTCCCAAACTTTTACTTTAGTTGGAACGTGTGTGTTTTTTCCAGTATTTTTTTTGCAGCCCAAAAATATAAAATCACATTAAAAAAAAGAAACTGAATAAATTTTCATTATTTCACTCGCTGCATCCTCCTCCCAACCCGGGCCAGGGTTTGGGGAACCCGAAACCGCACGGGCACGCCAGGAGGCGGGAGAAGGAGCTGATTTGTGGTAGGGTATCTGGCTAAGAGTGAGGGTGCAAGGAGGGGTAGGGTTGCCCGGTGTTTAGTTTTGTACCAGACAGTCTGGTATTTGAGGGTTCTGTCCGGAAACAAATTGAGAAAATACCGGACATAGAAAATGTCCGGTATTTTCTAATTAGGTACATTTTATTTATTATTATGTGTATCAGTTTGTACTTGCCAACTTCCTGGCTGGTCAACACATGCTGTGTGAGTGTGTCCACCAGCCAGGCAGTTCACAACTACTCGGGGGTGGTAAAATGGAATTTAGGAGACCAGACTCCTTCATGCTTCACCCGGACCATGCACAGGATGGGCAGCGCCCCAGGATCTGCATGCGCCCGGATCAGTCCCACTCCCTGCTGGCTGATTCTCTTCCCCTGCTTCCCCACCGCCCAGCCATCCCCACTCACCCCGACCCTCTGCCAGCCTGGCGGTTCTCCCCCGCTTCTCCTGATCTCCCCCGGCCATCCCTGCTGCTCATGCCAGCCCTGCTTCCTCCGGTCGGTTCTCTCGACCCGCCCCCATCTTTCCCAGACAACCCCACTGCCCCCACCCCTCCCGCCAGCCCTGCTTCTGCCAGCAGAACCAGCGTAATCCAATAAAACCCTGCACCACCACATCGTGTATCGAAAAGGGGCTCATTTATTTTCAGAAAGCCGACACCATCTTTGGAATTTTTTATCTGTATTCTCATTCCAGATGGTGAGTGCACCAGGTTCTCTCCATTCTGACTTATTGTAGTGCCTTTAAACCTCACTGTCAGCAGTGGGGATATTTAAAAGGCACTGCTTTTACATTTTTATTCAGGATCTGGGAAGCGATTGTCTAGGAAGGAGCATGGCGGAAAGGGATCTAGGGGTCATAGTGGACCACAAGTTGAATATGAGTCAACAGTGTGATGCTGTTGCAAAAAAAGCAAATATGATTCTAGGTTGTATCAACAGGTGTGTTGTAAGCAAAACTCGTGAAGTCATTCTGCCGCTCTACTCTGCACTAGTTAGGCCTCAGCTGGAGTACTGTGTCCAGTTCTGGACGCCACATTTCAAGAAAGATGTGGAGAAATTGGAAAGGGGACAGAGAAGAGCGACAAGAATGATTAAAGGCCTAGAGAACATGACCTATGAAGCCAGGCTTCATGAACTGGGCTTGTTTAGTTTGGAAAAAAGAAGATTAAGGGGGGACATGATAGCGGTTTTCAAATATCTAAAAGGGTGTCACAAGGAAGAAGGAGAAAATTTGTTCCTCTTGGTTACTGAGGACAGGACAAGGAGTAATGGGCTTAAAGTGCAGCAGGGGAGGTTTAGATTGGACATTAGGAAAAAATTCCTAACTGTCAGGGTGGTCAAATATTGGAATAAATTGCCAAGGGAGGTGGTGGAATCTCCCTCTCTGGAGATATTTAAGAACAGGTTAGATAGACATCTGTCAGGGATGGTGTAGACAGAGCTTGATCCTGCCTTGAGGGCGGGGGGCTGGACTCGATGACCTCTCGAGGTCCCTTCCAGTCCTATTATTCTATGATAAGATTTCATGGGCAAAGACCCACTTTGTCAGATCATACATCTGATGAAGTGGGTCTTTGCCCACGTAAGCTTACGCTCCGATAATACATCGGTTAGTCTATACGGTGCTACAGGACTCCTTGTCGCTTTTGCAGATCCAGACTAACACGGTGACCCCTTTGATACCTAACTCACTCAGTTACTTCGGAGCCAGCTGTGCCCATGTGGGTTGTGTTGTGCAAGGAGTACAGGCCACATCTCCCATACCTGCTGATCGCTAATGAATCGGATCAGCTGCAGCTTCTCTCTTCCTGTTTTTAATTCATCGACAGTCCTAGCTTTGTGCCACTGTTTTACCTGCACTACGGGAACACTGCAGCTGGACTTGGCTGATTTTGACAGGCCTATTGTGTGTTTACTAGCCAGGAAAATAAAGTTAAAATTGGGGTACATGGTGTCAGCCCAGAAATACAGCCCCCACCCGTCTGGGAGTGACACCTTTTAATCTCAAAACAGTAGCAGGGATGTGTCATTTGGGGCAAACCAACATTTTGACACATGCAGTGAGCCACAACCCAGGTCTTTATCAGAGCTGACAGCACCGTGCACCGAAAGGAAGTGTTGGGGGAGGAAGGGGCAGGTCTTAGTACTTGCCAAACCATTGGGGCCTTGCAGAGATGGGGTACGCCGTGATCCAACCTTATTTGGCCAGAGCCAGGCACAGCCCAGCTTCTAGATTAACGACCAGATTCCATTTGCAATCACGTCAGAACAGGCCCCGGAAGCCCCCTCGGGCCTTGTGCTCGGATCACTAAGCTTAGTGGGCACCTCGCCCTGACCCTGCTTCCCTGCGGCCCATATCCAACCCCCCCCCCCTCTCCGCAGCCAGAAATAAGAGCTCACCTGGTAACCCTGACTATGCTTCTGCCGGGAGCCTGAAACATACGGCTGCATCCACCCAGTGCAGCTGAGGGCTTGTGGGACCTGGCGTTGCATGGTCAGTCCAGGAGCCCGGAACACCCTGGCAGCCACACTGAGGCCTGGTATTTTTTTCCCGTAGCCCAGTATTGGGCTGCGGCCCATAGTTTGGAAAACGCTGGTGTAGCCAGTACTGAATAATTTGCATGCTGTTGTATTGCTTTTTATTTATTTTAAACTCTTAGTAACCCTTGAACCGTTCACATTTGTGTAGCAGTAGGACTTGCACTAGTCATAGGATTTGCAATAATCAGGGCTCCACACACTTTGGAGATGTCTATATTGTAACTTGTACAGTACTTTGATAAAAGGATTTATCATACTACACATTGCCACTTTCTTTATTCTCCTACCTTGGTAATCTCTAAAGTAGGCAGCATATTAGCCTCAGCTCGGACCTGGCCAATCTGATTTTCAGGTACAAACAGTTCAAGAACATCGTTCATCATGGTTTTGGGAACAATGTTCTATACAGAAAAGAAATAAGCATGGTCATTAACACATTAATTTTTAAACAAAATATACCAAAAGGCCTACATTGGAAAATATATTTTACAAAATGCAGGAATTTTTTGGTTCAAAACTACTCACTTGTGCTTGTAGCAGCTCTACAACCTGCTGGATACATTCATTCACAGTAGCAATATTTGTTTTCAACACTAGTTCAGATGATTCTGGTTTCTCATACTCTGAATCAATCCCAGTGAACCCTACGCACAATTAAACCCAAGGCAAATTTAGTGAACGTAATAGCAAGCAGTCTACAGATCAATAAAATAGCTAGGTACTGCACAACTGGGAAGAAAACATTGTTTCATTCGGAGAACCTATGCTCAGAAATGATATTGAGACTTCTTGTTTGATCTATCAACAATGGACATGACAGTAGGATTATAGCAATACCCCATGCTACCGGAACAACCTTTATTTGCCCTCCTATTGAAATGTGTTGATTCCAACACTGCAAAACCTGTTCTACAGCCTTTAATGCAGAGAGAAAGAAAACAGGGGGATGCAGAGAGAAAGAAAATATGAGCAAATGTTTAGTGGAGGAAGGGAATGTATTTGGCATTTCAGAAAAAGGAAAATTATCATGTCAACTTTTATACTTGTCAACATTAGCTTTACTTGTCAGGCCTTAAAGCAGTGTTGTGGCACAGAAGATTCAGTTGGCTTGTGATACATATTGTAACCGGGTAGAAGACTATAACCTGCATAGAAACACACAGCTCCTCTGCTGAATATCCTTTATGTCATATACTTGCATGCTGAACGAGAGAGCAATGTGATTGTAATCGAGTCCCAATCACACCACCTATAACTTGGCCTCTCATTAAAAGAACATAGAAATATAAGCATGCCAGTAAGTAAAGAATTTTAACATCGAGAAGAAACATTAAGTGCTTAACAGTCTGAGTAACTTTTGAAAATGGGACATAGGTTCCTAAAGGCTAAATCCACAAAGGGATTTATGTGCCCAACTGCCACTTTAGGGGTCCAAGTCCAAAATTTACATTTCTCTCACCCCTGATCTGCTGTTGACAACCCTATAAGCAGAAGAGCCAACAGACTCACTAGGCCTCTAGGCAAGGGGCGGGAACCCAGCGCCATGCTCTGCAAGGGGCAGAGCTTTGGTCAGAGAAGGGGGAACTGGGGGAAGCCAGCTGTCAGCACTGCCTGGACGTGCACCACATCCCTTCCAGCCCTCAGCACCATCCGGAGCACACCGCTTGGGGATCTGGTAAAGGGTCAAGTGGTTACCCAGTAAGGATTTGCCTCACCTGCATGCTTACTTGGGTAACTGGTTAACTGGCACCTGACACAGTTGAAACAGCCCCCCCACCCGTGGTGCAACACAGCAGTCTGATTAACTGGTTAAATATGTAGTTTAACCAGTTAACATTTTAAACAGGATTTTATATCCCTACTCTGGTGCTGATTTAAAAGGCCAGGGGCTCTGGTCACCACCTCTGCCAGAGTAGCAGTGACTGAGAGACATGGGCACCTTTGAATTGCCAGGCCTTGAGGTAGTTGCCTTTCCCACCCTCCCTCTCTGCAGGCCTGCTTCTAAGCACATACATCTCTGCTAGTGAAATCCCCATGGAGTCAATATTGGCTGGCTTTTTCCTTTTGTTTAAAGAAGTGGCAACACTGGCTCCTCTTAGCACTCTTCACTGTTGATGAGAAAAGGCAGGCAGATAAAAAGAAAATACTAAAATAACATGAAACATAAATTGTTTACCACACCTTTGATTTCTCCAGCCCTTGCTTTTTTGTAAAGCCCTTTCACATCTCTGCTTTCACAAATATTTAGAGGAGCATCTACAAAGATTTCAAAGAAAGGAAGACCAGCCATTTCATGAATTTCCCTTGCATTTTGACGATCCTGTAAGAAGCAAGGGGAGAAATCACAAGCAATTCCTCAACTGAATTCTCAGAGGAGTGTTGCTAGATGTTTTATCTTATAACAAAACCCTGCCTAGAGTTGTATTTTTCCAATGGAAAGGTACAGGCCATAATCATCCATTGCAAAATCTATCTATTTTAGAAATGTGAGTCTCTCTGACCATCTGAGTCTGTTTCTTCAAGAATGCCTCCTAAATGATAAGAAAGAACTAAGACCACCACATTTGGAAAGCAGCTTCCTCTTATCCTAACTTAAAGCAAGGTCAGGGCTTGGTTGTGCCAGGACAATAGGATGTTTCTGAAATTTAATTGTTTTTCATAAAACAGGAAGGGTATGTCTACACTACCCCACTAGTTCGAACTAGCGGGGTAATGTAGGCATACCGCACTTGCAAATGAAGCCCGGGATTTGAATTTCCCGGGCTTCATTTGCATAAGCGGGGAGCCGCCATTTTTAAAACCCCGCTGGTTCGAACTCCGTGCAGCGCAGCTACACGGGGCTCGAACTAGGTAGTTCGGACTAGGCTTCCTATTCTGAACTACCGGTACACCTCGTTCCACCTCGTTCCTAGTCCGAACTACCTAGTTCGAGCCCCGTGTAGCTGCGCTGCACGGAGTTCGAACCAGCGGGGTTTTAAAAATGGCGGCTCTCCGCTTATGCAAATGAAGCCCGGGATTTGAATTTCCCGGGCTTCATTTGCAAGTGCGGTATGCCTACATTACCCTCCTAGTTCGAACTAGGAGGGTAGTGTAGACATACCCAAAGGGAGGGATCTGGTAAAGGGAGTTATATTGTGGAATGACCACAGGGGGACAGCAAGCACCCAGTACAACTTGCCAGCCATGAGATGAAGCCAGTAGCCAGGGTATGTGCCTCCCCCCCCCTTCAACCAGCACTGGGAAGAAGCCGGTCACCAGGGTGCACCTGTCCTTCCCTCCCACCTCCCCCTGGCCAACCCAGGTAAAAGCCAGCAGCCAAGTGTGTGTCCCCACTTCCAACCCCGGCCGAACCCAGGCAACGCCAGTTAAGTCTTCTACTGTTATATATTTTAAGTATTTTCTTACTAAGAAAAGATGTTTCTTTTCACATAATATTTAATAAAATGTACTAGTCTGATCTAGATTCAGCTTTTTCACAGCAGTTTAGGACAAGTATCTTCACTTGGCAGGATGGCAGAATCTTACACTTTGAATGACTATTTATTAACTAATCCTTGCTTTAAAACAAAGATTATTTATAACCAGTTGTATTGACCTGATATAAGCAGATTAGTGTCATTAGCATGAAGCAAAATAAATCACAAGTATACAGCATGCCAAAACTTTTAGAACAGCATATAGCAGTATGATTATACCACTGTAAAGCCCCTAATGCCTTCCTCCAGTTTTCCATTTTTCAGGAAACTCGTGATTAATGAATTGCTTGAGTGAAAATTTTATTTTTGACTTTTTTAACTGAAACCTAATTTTCTGCATATCTTTGAACAGCAATGTGTCATGCAAATTTACATGTGAGCATTAGGGATCAAGGGAACTTACTTTACATAGTTGTGATCTAAACAAAAAAGAATAGAGGGAAAAATAAAGGGAGTGTGTGATGAGGTGGAAACTGATCACAGTCTGGAAAGGTAATAATTACTTATGGACTAGATACAATATATGTATCTAGTTAGCTGCTTCTCAACCACAGGGGGCAAGATTGGGCGACATTGGGTGATAACATAATGGACACACAGGCCCCATAAAAAGCAGAAGAGTTTAAGGAGGAAGCTAGAGGGAGCAGACAGGATGGCAAGTTTCTGTGAAAGGCTGAAGTGCTAGAGGCTGTTGAGGACTTGGGCCTCAGTAAAATTGTGGTGGGATTAAGAATGTTTGATACCAGAGCTGAGGACAGGCAGTGGAATCCCAGGAAAGGAGGTGAGGGCCAGACCCAGAAGCAAGGTTGATTCTTGAGGACTTAGATTATGCTGGAATATTTGTTCCCACAGAAAGGGAACTGCTGCTTTTAAGCTATATGGTGTGTAAAGACAGAGGGCCTTTAGGGAACACCACAGATAAACATGCCTACAGAATCACACCCTGAAATACCAGGGGTGGTGAGTACACTACATAACTGTGTGTCTGAAATATAATACATAAATTATGCTCTTTAAAAGTGCCTCTTTTCCTAATGAATATGAATTAATTCTAGTGATGAGAGTGCCAGTGGACTTTCTGCAGAGACCCCATTTTTTCTAGTAAATATCAGAACAATCTTAAATAGGTTTACCTTTGCAAAAGGGGAAATAAAACTAGTTATGCAAACAAGACCAGCATCAGCAAACAGTTTGGCAACTTCAGCAACACGGCGGATGTTTTCTTCTCGGTCATCAGTTGAAAAACCTAGGTTTTTGTTCAGACCATGCCGAATGTTATCCCCGTCCAGAGAGTAGCAAGGCATGCCACGAGACACCAGGTATTCTTCCAGAGCAAAGCCAATAGTTGTTTTCCCAGCACCAGAAAGACCTGTTAGAGAGAACAAGCAAGGCATACCGAGGTCCATCCGGAGTATTAAAAAGACTAAACAGCAATCTAATTTTTGGTTATGAGTAATTAAACATCAGCTCCTAGATGAAAATACAGACTAGACAGAACTGGTTAGATATCAGAGGTAGATTAGTGGCATGAGACATACATTAGCCAGAGTGGAGCAATTGTATACTTAGGCCCCGAGAATCTCCTCTTCTATTGAAGATGAAGAACGGGATTTTTCGCAAGCAGACTAACTCACTAAGGAAATTCTCATAGTTTCTCACATCCTCTCCTCAGGGGAGAACACAGAGTTTGGTTCCCTCCTTTCTCCTGTGAAATAGGTACATTCAAATCTAGCAAATCCCAGGGGATCCGGAGGAGGCCAGGCCATCACCTGGAGACCCTGGTACTCTCATTGGGCTAAGACAGTTGGTGGGATGCTGGGCATAGAAGCCTACAGTGATCTGAAAGTCAAAAGGTTGAGATCATACCCCCATTACTGGTCAACCACTTCATGTCCCAGTTGCTCTGCATGGATCCTATAATGCACAAAGAGCACTGAGTCCATGAGGTCTGAGTGGGAGTAAAGACAGTTTTGTGGTGGCACCCAAAACCCTCTTCTTTGAAGGAGGTTCAGACCCATGTACTGAAGATTGCTCTGAGTAACAGAGTCAGGACAGGAGGGCTAGTTAGGGACAGAAACCCTTCAATTCATATAAGACAACAGAGTCAGACACTCAGGGTATGTCTAGACTACATGCCTCTGCAGACCGAGACATGTAAATTAGACATACCAACAGTCAATGAAGTGGGGATTTAAATATCCCTCGCTTCATTAGAATAAAAATGGCCACCGCATTGTGCCGGCTCAGCTGTTTGTCGGCATGAAGCAGCAGTCAAGACGGGCAAAGACTTCCCTTGCCGACCAATCCCCGTCTTGAATGCCGCTTTGTGCCAACAAACAGCTGAGCTGGCACAACTCGGTGGCCATTTTTATTCTAATGAAGCGGGGGATATTTAAATCCCCATTTCATTGACTATGTCGGTATGTCTAATTTACATGCCTCAAGCGGCAGAGGTATGTAGTCTAGACATACCCCCTAACAGATAAGCTATCAAGAAACCCTCAATGGTTATTTCATTATTGACTAATCATTTAAAAATTAGAACAATAGGAAGTGATGGTAACGTCTCTATATATTTCAGAGAAGAGATACCACTAAATGAAATGCAAACACTTCACATACAGTACCTATAAATTATATACAAAAGGGAATAAATGGCACTGGATGAGTTTCAACTTCACAAATAAGTTTTAACTGATTTAGTAGTTCACCTAAATGATTGGTAGTCAGTAACCTTTTGAAAGTAAACTGTTTTTAATGGAAAGGTCTGCCCACAAAATGATATGAACATAAGATAAAGTGGCATTCCAAACATTATGGAATGTGTATTTTCCCATGTTGCTGTTGCCAAAGAAAATATACCAAGAGTTACCAAGCAAACAAACATGATAAATGACAAATAGTAGTAAGAGAACTGTGCAAACATAACTGGAACAGTGCGCAGAGTGAGACCGTGACAGTAATCCCTTCCCCAACATTTTATTAAATGAATACAATGTAACTTACATTCTATGGATTATTTATTCTCTATACATACAAAGCATAAATATGATATAACATAATATTTTAAATCCCAGCAAATGGGATTTATTTCACCCTGTGTATCCAGGTCATAAGAATTTTCTAGGCCTCATTAGGATCTATTTATGCGGATCAAATTGAAATAAACAGACCTCTTTATATCTTGCACTAAACGATACCTTGGTTATTGACATAGATAAACTAATTTCAAGTTATACTCATCCAGTACCATTGAGCAACACATTTCACACATCCATTTGCAATCTCAATAAGGCTTAAAATACCTGTTAGCCACACTGTGCAGCCACGAAATCCACCTCTTGTACCCACAATTTGGCCTCTTTTACTCCTGCTGACATGATGAGCTTGATACACCACATTCGTGGCTCTTTGAATATTCTACACCCAAAGAAAAATAAAAGTTTACTCTGTCAAACTGCAAAATAGAAAATACAAGAGGAACAGATCCAAGAGGCAAAAATTCAAATTCAGCCTAAAAAAGGAGACTTATTTTATAGTTAAACACAAAAAAGTATGTTTGCAGTTGCTACCTGAATAAATGAATTGCAGTTGCTATTCTGAATAAATAGGAGATAGCTTTACATAGAACTCAGGCAACTGCTCAAGAAGGGGGAGAAATAACCAAATAAGACGGCAACAAGTTTTAAGGGATAGCCATGTTAGTCTGTTTCAGCCGAAACCATGAGGAGTCCTGTGGCACCTAAGGGCATGTCTACACTGGGGAGTTATTTCAAAATAACTTAAATTTCAAAATAACAAGGTGAGTGTCTACACTACCAGCCCTGTTATTTCAAAATAAAGAGCTTGTTATTTCAAAATAATAACTACTGCTTGTGAAGAGGAATAGCTTATTTCAAAATAGTTATTTCAGGAGTTATTATTTTGAAATAAATAACTCCCTCATGTAGACATAGCTTTAAAGACTAACAAGTTTATTTGGGCAAAAGCTTTTATGGGCTGGAACCCACTTGCATCTGACAACGCAGGTTCCACCCATGAAAGCTTATGCCCAAATAAATGTGTTAATCTTTAAAATATCACAGGATTCCTGGTTTTTTCAAATAAGATGTCCGTCTTTAGTTTCAGTTGGCTTTAATTCAATACAATTTCTTTAAGTTGCTTTTTATCTTTGACCTCCTCATGTCAAACACGTCATGTCAATGCATTGGTATATGTTGCCACTGATTATGAATGTTGCAGGAATTTCCTGTTATAGCTGATATGAAATTTAATCTGCATATGGATAATTGTAGATAGGGTGCTCACTGACTTGTCTACAAGCACATGCACTGCATAAAGAAGGAAATGCAGATGAAAATTACCCACTCACTTGTGTTTTCTGTCTAATTTCCCTTAAGCATCTGTGCATGTGTAAAGCACAATTGTAATTGATTGAATAGTGTAAATCATTTAAAGCGGTCAGCTTACTTGCTATGAGTGTTAAATTTAAACTCTTATATCCAGTAAATTCAATGCTTAAATTGTTTATATTATTTAGACAATTAAATAATTGTGCTAAGGACAAAAGGTAGAAATGTCCTCATCCCAGCCCTAGGGCACTAGGGGTGCCGCTACTTTGGCCACTGTCTCCACATAATGCTGAACCACTGGTCACACTTATGCCTTCTTTTCCCACTGCCAAAAATTACAGTTCTTCTTGCTCAATCTTTCAATAGCTTGCACTCATTCTACCATGGAATATCAGTGACTGTGTTGCATTTAGGTCATCTGTGCTCAAAGAGTAGGGTGGCATAGACTTTACTTTGAACAGCAATGCTCATTTTTGAGTAAATTACATTTATACTCAAATTGTGGTTTGAAAATATTCATACATTCAAGTTGGGGTTAAATAGAAGAAGCATTTCTCTTCACATCACCACTCATTCTCTCTCTCTCATATATACACACAACATACACTGAATTGCATTTTGCTGGCACTGATTGGAGGTAGGGCTGGTAGTACTGCCTATTATTAAAGTTTATTGACCCTTCCCATTGTAAGAATCTGTGTTCAGCTACTTATAACTTTCCCAAACTAATATTTTATGCTCATGTTTTCTATGTGCAGAAACCAGAGGAGTGGGGAGAAAAAAGGTGTTGAGCAGGGGTAGGCAATAAGCGACCTGGCAAACTGCCAGATGCTTTATTTACTTGCGCATCCACAGGTACGACTGTTTGCAGCTCCCATTGGCCACAGTTCCTTGTTCTTAACCAATGGGAGCAGCTGAAAGTGGCATCCCGGTCCGCACCGCTTCCCGAAGCTCCCATTAGTCAGAAGTGGCGATCTGTGTCCAATGGGAGCTGTGAGTGGCCATACTTGACATCACAGGTAAATAAAGCAGCAGCACCCCAACAGAACCAGAACAGGGCTGGCAACAAAGAGACAGTGTGTGTGTTGGGTGGAGGGGGTTAATAGCTGGGGAAAAGAAATGGGAACTGGCACTAAGGGAGGGAGACAGAGGGAATCCAGAGTGTGGAGACTAAGACTTGTTAGGCAAGCACACTGGGACTATGAGGAGAAAAAATAGCACATGAACATGTAATTATCGACCAGCAGTCTCCAACCTTTTTAAGCACATGATCACTTTTTTAAATTTAATTCAGGATCTACCTCAAACCCAACTGCCCTTGTTTTGCCTTCTTCCTCACCCTTTCTCTGAGGCCCTGCCCCTGCTCCACTCCTTCTCTGCTCTGCTCACTCTCTGGAGATGGAGTACATGGGTGTAGGGAGGAGGGACACCCTGACATCAATGCCCCTTCTCAGCCTCCCCACCCTGCACAGCAAGAAAGAGGCTCCCCAGAGCACCTCCGTTGCAGAGGGCAGGGGCAGCACAGCAGGGAAAGGGCAGATGAAGTGCTGACAATTGATCGCCTCCTGGCCACACTGGTCATGAGTACCTGTCAGAGGCTCCAGGATCTACTGGTTGGTGACCACTGTTAGGCTAGGTCTACACTACAGAGTTTTTTCGGAAAAACGGCATTTCTATGAGGAAGAAGCCTTTTTCTGAAAGAGCTCTTTGAGAAAAGGGGCTTGTGTGGACATGGAAGAGGGAGTTATTTCGAAAGAAGAGGAAAGAGGAAAAAGCACAGGTGCCCTAGTGGCCACTCCGTCCATAGTAATCACAGCATAAATGTGAGCTAGCATCCATTCAGTGTGGACGCTATCTTTCGAAAAAGCAGATCACTTTTGAAGTGTGGATGCTCTCTTTCGGAAGAAGTTTTTTCAGAAGATCTCTTCCAGAAAAGCTTCTTCCGAAAGAAGCCTGCGGTCTAGACGTAGCCTCTTCGATCAAATCACAAAGCACAGGTAGAAGTGTGGTAAGGAGAGCAAACTGAAGTTTCATAGACACCCTTAATTCTGGCATTTTTTAATATTTGAGTGCTTAACTTTACAACCTTAATAATAGGTTTTTAACATTGTTTGTGTATGTGTGATAGGAAGAGTCATTTGCAATTTGATTCTGTATCTTTAAATTATGTTAAATTGTAGTGCAGCGTAAATACTACTTTTTAATCTTTGATAATAGTTAATTTAATTCTGACAGACTTTTCTCTTGGATACCTTACTGCCATGTGCATTTAGCACTTGCTCAAATGCAGCAGCCTAAAGCTAAAGGGTGACCAAAGTTGCACTGCTATGACATGTTCTTCGTACTGCCAAATATTTACAAGTATATCACAAGCAAGGCCCCAAAGATCTTGAAATTGGATTAAAAATCAGGATTTTAAAAAACACACATTGAGTTTTTATATTTGCCTTCTGGTTGTTGAACTTAATTACACTCAGATTATGTTGTCAAGCTTTTCTCTATTATGAAGACTAAGAAAGTGATTTAGAAAGATGAAAACCTGAGATTCTCATGCATTCACACAAATTCCAGCAGCTAGAACTCTAAAGAAGAAAACTAACTTTTATGAGATGTGTTAAAATTGTGAGAGTTGGTTACATTGCTTACTGCAGTATTGGCAATCTCAGGTGTTTAAAAATCATGCCACTAAAATCACGAGATTGGTTTAGAAATCACAAGATCGTTTAAAAAAATGATTATCCTTTTTCTTTGACTTTCTAGGTTTTTTGGGTATGCTTGGCTGCATCTGCATGTTTTCCTCCTCAACAGTGAGGACTAGAAATTAAGGCTATGGCTACACAGCACCAGTATTTTGGAATAAATGACATTATTCCAAAATCACAAAGAGCGTGTCTATACAGAAAGCCATTATTTCAAAATAATAGGTGAGCAGGAAGACTCCTTACTCTGACTCCTGTAACCCTCATTTCATGATGAGTAAGAGAAGATGAAAGAAAAGTGCTCTTCCTTTGCCTTCCTGCTGTATAGACAGCACCAAAAGCCAAATTAGGCTATTTCAACTTCAGCTACGCAATTGACATAGCTCAATTGCCCTCACTTTCTTTTTTAAATGAAAGCTGAGGTTCTACATAATCACATCATGACAGTAGTTTAAACATTAAGAAAAAACTCAAAATATGAGACTCATGATAAAATTATAAAATTTGGCAACACCAAGGTCTCTTACAAATGCTGTCTCATCTGCCCAGCTAATGAGCTCAAAAAAGGTTCATCCATAACTCATTGTTTTTGTTCACTTGCTCCTCTGTACCCAAAAGCTATGTTGTACTGACATCTGTATTCCAGGAGATGTTGCTAGGAGATGGCCTTATTATTGAGCCACTAATGTCTGTCACTGTAGTGGGAACCAGTGATTGCGTTGCATTTTATTGGCCAGAGTTGGTTCTTATCAGATGGTGTACTTACTCATTCCTCCTTACCATAGGGACATAGCAGTAGCAAAGAATTGCCTTCAAAGACTTAGCCTGGGTAGTAGCAACAAAGAAAAACAACTGAAAAAATAACCCATCTTAACCAATGTAATGGCTGCTGGAGGAGGAGTCTGCCCCTGAGAACCATACTTCCAGCAGCAGCAGTTGAAATGGGAAGTGGAAGTTGAGGCATTAGGGGTTGTGGATTCCCAGAAGGGATAGAATGTATCGCCTGCTGTGGTTGAAAGAGGAGCCCTCAAAACTTTTAGCTTAGGGGTTTCCCATCAAGATGTGAGATGGGAATATGGACGCAAGAATGGGAATTTACTTCTTCTTGTAATTCTGGAGGTGTTTTTTTTTTTTAAATGTCTGGGCCTGATTTTCTGATACATTGGCTGCCCTGTGTGAGGCTGCAAATAAACTTGGGGAAATTTTACAGTCTCTCAATTATTGTCACATGGATATTTAAGTACCTAATAGTACATGAAAATCAAGTATCTGGAAGTCTAGGTTCCCACAATAACCGGGGCTACGTCTAGACTACGGAGTTTTCCAAACTCTGCCATGACCAGGGAACACGTCTGCTCGTCTGA